ATACTGTATGTATTATATATTTCTTTGTCATTTTTTTTTTGCCCCTTTCTGTTGTTTCTTCAGATACTTTTGTTTTGTGGGAGAGGGGGGGTGTGGGTGGGTGTGTGGGGGGGGGGGGGGGGGGGGGAGGGCACGGGCCCACCTACCCCCCTACTCTTACGGCCCTGATTTAGAGCGAGGAGATCGAGAAAGAATGGCGGAGAAGAGAAAACAGCAATGCTTGCACCCAGTCTTTAAATTGACTGCTCAGTTGGTGATAGTTTTTGAACGACGTGTACTACATGAACATGGACTATATTTTGGGAGAAATTAAACACGTTTTCAAAAATCTAACAAGATATGCAATCCATAAAACATTGAAACAAAAAACTTAGGCTTCGGCGCCCTAGGGTCTCTCAGAGTTGCCAAAAAAAAAAACAACAACTGGATTATTGAGCCCATCATATAAAAAGCTACAAATAAACGACGGGTTAAGGGCGGACTAACCTCTTTTTGTTTTCTCACCGCGTGTGGTCGTTCAGTTTGAGCAAAAATCAAACTTAAATTTACTATCAGTTTGCAATGCGAGGTGGGTGTTTACAACTTTTCTACAGGTATCTGACGAAACTTAAGACCATGTTTGCATGAACAATCCCAAACGGTATATTATACAATTAATGATTAAATTAGAGAGCCAAAAGTAAGTATAAAGCGAAGGCTTTATGCCCCCTGGCAAAAAATTACTGAATGATAACTAAAGCAACAGGGAGGGATCTTGAACTGGTACGAATCACTCTGCCGGTAGTTTTACATTGCTTGACATTCGCTTTGTCAAATTAAAAAGAGACACAAAGAAAAACCTGGAAACGTGAGAGCCATGCAGACAGCCCCCCCTTTCTTAAAGCAGTGTGTTTATCCGGCGTGTGGGGCCTTTGTTCATGTTTGTTCTTTGCCAAAACTCCGCTGTGTAGCTCAAGCCTGTTTAAAGAGGGATTAACGCTTTCCATCAATCGTAAGTTTAATTGCTTATTTAATTTTTTCTTAAAAAAGCATCCCATAGCTAAAATTTATCGACATTTTAAAAAGATATTTTAAAACGTCGCTTGCTCGAGCGCTTGCTCGCCACTTCTTATCTAAAAGGTATTTTTAGCTCTTTGGCTAGAGACGGAACTAAATTTGCATAACTTAAACGGTGTAATTTACGTCAAAGCCCCAACAATATCGTTTTAAGAAAATGTTTTGATCCACCTCAATCTTTCATAGAAAGACTTTTCCGGGACTAGGTTATTTCAACTCGTTTCGGTTCGTTCTAATATCCGTCCCTACCCGCAGGAGTGTCTGGTTTTGTTTGTGGCGGAAAGGGACGAAAAAACATTTGCATTTAGAAATTTCCTTTCCGATAACTTAACCTCATGTAATACAATCAAACCTTAACAGAGTTTTATATCGCTTTTTTTCTTAATCATCTTTTCCAGACGGATAGTTGAGTAAAGCCACTCAAAGTGACAGCTATAACAGAGCAGAGCCAATCAAAAAACTCGCTGAAAGGCAATAGTCAATGAGGACAATTTGTACTTTTGTGGAGAGTAGGGTAGGGGAAACACTACGATCCGTTTTTAATGGGATCTTTTTTAGTTTTAATGATTATAGTGTCAAGACTCTGTACAGTTTTACTGATAAAATGAAAATTTGAGTTTTAAATTCAAAAATAGTCGCTTTGGGATTCATATATTGAAATTTTATTAACAACCCCTCCCCCTGGATAGTCAAAATTCATACCCTTGCCTACTTATAGTCGCGCGAATATGCTGTTTTGGTGGATGGCCATTCACTCGAGTGAGCGTCAAACAAGTTTCCTTTAATAATTTCCCCTTGTATATGTGTTATTTTTTAACCAGAGGGTTTGATTGTCAGCTTTAACTCATGGTTCATCGAAGCAGATAGCACTGGCTTCATAAAATGCCTAAAAAGAAAAGTGGTGTCGGTTGTTTCGGTTCTCGCTCAAATCACCCCGAAATTCGCTATGGAATCGATCATTCTCGAGGAATGCAGATGCTTCACGACTTCTCGCAACCAATGCCTGAAGAAAGCGAACTTAATGCTAAGTTCGCGGAGATCGTGGTAAGTAAAGGATAAACGAACTTTTAGGTTTAGTTTAGGCGACTGAATATCAACATTTATCGAGTTACTAGCACTTTAAAGTTCAATACGTAACTTGCTCTTCTTTGACGTTAGAACGGAGGCGGTGTCAGACCAAAATCAATTTGTTGTTTATAATTCAAACACGTGCCCAGCTTTGAAGAAAAAGCCTTAATTTTTCTTTCCTGTATGGAAACTGACTCTTTCCTTTCGGGAAAAATAACTTGAAGGAGATTTGATTTATACTCAAAGGATTCTAAAGAAATATCCCCAATGGGCTTTTGTACTTCAGTGAGCTTAAGTTAATTACAATTCTGAAATTCCTATCTTTCATTTTGGTCTAAAAAAAAATACCTCTCCAATTCATGGTTTTGCACAGTCTACAGCTTGTAAGCGATTTACAAGATGAATTTTTACCATAGAGACATTACTTTTTCTCGACGTCTGGTTTGGCAAACTTGCATCATAAAATCTGGAAGTCAAATTTATTTAACTTTCAATTCTGGTTTATTGATCAATTTGTGCCTAGACTTCAGTTCGTTTTATTTCATTTCCGACTGTTTTACGACTCAGACATGTCAACAAAGTTGCATTTCCAGTCATCAATGGTCGGACGATTAAATCTCAAGCATTGTTGTCGGAATAGGTTTATCGATCGCCAAAGTTGTCAATGATCGAATAGTGTCGCGATCCTTTGGTGATAAAATAAATATTTTGTACATTCAATAACTTGAAATAAAGTATTTTACTTCCCTAGATCTTAAGGAGAATGTATTTTTCAGCGATTCTCTAGCTTAAGCAGGACAACTGAGATGGTCATAGTTTCGATGATGTCTCAGTTTTATGTTATAATTAACCAACAAGAATTTACGAGGTACATTGCGTTAAAGTAAATGGACAAGCTTAAGTTAACAGCTTATTTCATTGGTAAATTTAAAACGAAATACAAAAATCCTTTGCCTTTATACAATATTGGACGCTGTGACGCTTGAGTTTACAAATAATTCGTCGCAGCGATGGTACAGACGTCAAGAATTATTATCAATATTTGTGTGTTTGTTGTGTTCTTTCAGGAGGAACTTGACCTCACCGCCGTACATAAGAAGGCAATGTTTGAATTGCCACCTGAAAAAAAATGGCAGCTTTATTTATCTAAGAAGAAGGTAAGCAACGTTGAACTGGAAGAGAATACATTAAATCAAAGTTTTTTTGAAACCTGTTGATATTATGCACAGCATATTGTGCGAACTCATGTTTATACTATATTAATTCTACCAATGTTAAAAATTAATGGCTGTCATGTATGGTGGAGTTCCTGCGGAAAATGATAAATTATTTCTTATTGTCTGGCTTGCAGCTGTTTTTTGTTTTAAGTCAACCGAGCATCACTTGTTGATTCGTGGAAATCGAATGTCTATTGCAAATGTGTTCATAAAAATTCTCTTAATTCTTTAAATCTGTTACTTAATACTTGTTTAAAAAACACTATTGTTATCTAACTGGAATCCTCTGAGAATTTATATTATATAAATTAACATGCTTTGTTTTTATTTTGTGGTTGGACAAAGCTATTGTCCTGGACAGACCCTTCATCGCCACTCCTTTTTTGAAAACTCATGACTGTCACATTGTTGCAAAATATATTAAATAAATAAATAAATAAATAAATAAATAAATAAATAAATAAATAAATAAATAAATAAATAAATAAATAAATAAATAAATAAATAAATAAATAAATAAATAAATACTCAATAGTCTAGATTAACCTGTGGAGTCATTAAAACTGTTGCTTATGTTAGTTATATTTTCTGTATAGTATCATCTTTCAATCAGTTGTTAAATTGAAAATCCATTTTCTGAACTATAGGTTGTAGTTCCTTGAATATAGTAGCCTTTTTTTTTTATTTATTTCACAACAGTTTGTGGATAATTTGGTTGTAATCTTTACTATAACTCCTGTATTTAACCCAGAGACACTTTAAATGCCTCAACACATTGAGCCCCAATATCCACATACAAATCCTCCAAACTGATCTCCATACATTTCCTTTAAGAAATTGAGAGAATTTAATAATAGATCAAGGCATTTCTCTTTGGTGATCATGTTATTTATTCTCATAACCTTATCTGTTGACTATGTATGGGTATTGTTAGGAGAAAAGTGATGCTGGTCACTATTGGGACTTAAAGGGACCACAAACCACTAACATCAATGTTCTTCTTTAGTCTGCACTTCATTAGGCATCAGAGATCGGAGAATTCTCCGTTTACTACACAGAATTCCCTGGCTAACATGCGATAACCTATGACTGTTTTCTATTCAGACAATTTTATTGGAGCCTCTTTCACAATATTCTTCTGTAAAGTTACACCTTTGTCCTGCCACAAGAACTTTTAGTGAAAATGCTGTTGAACCCAAAATTAATGTGGCCCTTTTAATGGGGTGGCTGTATTAGTTGGTAGGGTCTTTTCATGGTTGCTTAGTCTTTCATAGACAAGAGTCCTAATTGACAGATATATCACAATGCAGGGTTGTCAGAAAGTTTTGAAGTGGATGGCTGAGTTGTCAAAGTAAGCAGCCAGTCCATTGATATTTTATTTAAAAAACGCCATCCGAAAAGAAATGCCAAGTAGAGTAGCCTGCTGATACTAACCAAGTAGGCAGTGATTCTCGCCGGCAGCCAGCTACTTTTGACAACCCTGACAATGCCCTAAGACTTGGTTGTCATTACGAATGACATCCCATTCCCCGGACACTTTCAGTTCATAAAGGATGTTTTTTTTCTGTGTTTTTGTTTTTGGTTTGTCAATTGGATGTTTTTCTCCATAAGTAAATGAGCGAGTGTCACAAGATTGCTCATTTAGGACAGGTGTCCAATAATAATTAAGGCATGTAAAAAAAGGAGTGTATACAATTATGTTTCTTTGACCGTGACTAAGGTTTGTTTATTGGAGGTGCCATATTAACAGGTGTTTGACTAATTTATTGTTTTGTTTTAAGCGCGGCAGCATTAGCTCAGTCAGTAGAACACTTGACTGCAAAGCAGGAGGTCGTGGGTTTTTATTCCTGGGGCCGGATCAATACTCAGGGTCTCAAAATAACTGAGAAATGAAGGTACTCCCTTTGCACTGCAAGCGGCTAGACCTTCACGTGGCTTGGATGACCACGTAAAATGGAGATGTAAAAATAGTGTCCCCAATATATTAGTACTTTTGTGCTAAATACATTGACAAGTAGCACCACAATAGAAAATCGCAGATCAAACAGAGCTTCCCTACGATCTATAGAGTGTTCACTTACTAGAGATTATTGGACTTGGATCATCAGATGGCCTTGTGGATGGTTTTCATTCCTTGTTTATTTTATTCATTTGATTCAGTTGCTCATCTTCACGTCTTCTTATTTCAGGAGCAAGAGGAGTTAACCTCAACAAGTTACCCGGAATACTACATTGATCAAATGAAAAGCCTCCATTCGGTAAGTGTTTATTTCATAGCCGTTAAGTTCCAGACTGTAATGGAGGTATTTTGAATGTGAAGATGGGTGATGCACAGGAATGCACGTGAACTGTGTGTTGTCTAGTCCCTTTTAAACAAGTTTTTAAACCCTTTTGGCCAGCAATGAAAATGGTGCTATAGAAATTACTGTTATTATTAATATTATTATCATTTTATTATTTTTTTTGATCAAACAGCATTTGTGAAAAGAATGTGTGAGACTGAAATTTGGACATCAAGTGAGATTTTTTGCCATAAAATTATCAGAGATTACTTGGTGTGTTTTCTTTGAATTTCTTCTGAAATTGTAGTCTACAGTCTCAAGCCATGATGGTATTGATTGCTTACCAAAAGTTGTTTTTTTTTATTGTTGCTGATACTTCATTCTTGATGAAGATGGTGATTGTGAGAACACATAAAATTGTATTTATTACTGCTATTTCTTTTTATTTATATCTTTGTAACAGGTTTTTGTTGCCCAGAAAGAGGATGAAAATAGAGAAATAGAGTCCAGAACAAAACTAGTTGATGGACTTAAAACTGCACTCAGAACGCAGCCTTTGAGGTAGCAAAGGGGCAAAAAAGTCAATTCGGCATTACAAATGTACCCCCCACAGCTCCACCCATTCCCATCCCTAAAACTTAAATATGTACAGACTAAGTCATAAGGCCAAAAGCGAAGGTCTCATGGGATCTTTAATGAAACTTCTTTCAGAAAAAATTCAACTTTTGCCATAAACAAGGAGCAAACTGAATTCTTCCTGAAAAAATTCGAAAGAGCCATCAATCAATTGAAAACCAATATCTGGTCAGAGGAGAATATTAAAAAACAAACACGTCACCTCACTGAGTTGTACACCTGAAGCCATGATACAGTCATGTGACACTGGTCAGGGGATACCCCATTTTGACTTTGACAGCTGTCGATTGACCTTAACATGGATGTCCAATATCAAGTTAAACACTGATTATTTGCGCTTTGGACTCATAGCAAGTGTGACATTTCACATCCCCTAACATGTACAGGCAGACATATGGACAGATGGACTGATGGACCGATGAGTGTATGTCAAACCAAACTATCTTGCACAGATAACCAAATTTTATTACCCATGGTGCTCGGCTACAATGATTAATTTTGAACTTTTAATTGGTATATTAATATTGTTGCTAAATCATGTGATTTCTGTTGGTTATTGACTAAACTTGTTGTTATGTGTTTTGTTTTGCAGATTTGTGCATAGGTTTATAGAATTAGAAGGTTTAAATTGTTTATTAGATTTCCTAGAAAAAATGGACTTTGAAACAAGGTGGGTTGTTATCTACTTGCGCTGTACGTAGGAGAAAGAATATGTAATAAATAAATTGATAAAATTAAAGTAGAAGTGTACATGTGTACCTTGTCTTAATTTTTGCATTGATTTCTTGATTTTCTATTCTTTTTTAGCCAAAGTAAAATTCACACTGCGGCAATAGGATGTTTTAAAGCTTTAATGAATAGCTCGGTAAGAGTTTCCTTTACTCATACAATAAATTGAACATAGGTTAAATCAAGTCAAAATTAAATTCCGGTTGCCAATTTTATACTAAGGTTGATTTTCAGTTTCCCTTGTTTTCTAATGGTTGGTGGGGAAGGGAAGGGAAGGGAGGAGGTACTCTGGAGTAAAAAAAAGGATGGAAGGTCCAAATAAGGCCAAAGTGTTCAACCCAGAAGGGAAGAGAGGTCTAGAATATAACCTCCCATAGGTCCCGTCTTCCTTTGAGCACATACTGAATGATGATAACCGAAGATTTTACTTTTCACCACCCCCCCACCCCTAAAATAATATATTTTCCACCAAACTTTCTCACCTGAAGTAGTCAACACAAAATGTCTAGCCAAAGGGAAGTCTTTTGAACACAAATTTTATGTGGTATATTATCATGGTATATTAATTTTGATGTAGTCAATAAAGTTTTATTTATTGTTTATGAATTTATTTTTTGTAGCATGGAAGAGCTCATGTACTGGCCCATCCTTCCTGTATCAATATCATTGCTCAGAGTATGAGCACAGAAAATATCAAAACTAAAATACAAGGTAGGTCTATTAACCCTTAAAGTCCCGATGGTGACCAACATCAATTTTCTCCTAACCATATCCATAGATTGTCCAGAGATTAGGTTATAAGAATTAATAAATTGATCACCTAAGGGAAAATGCTTTGATCTTGTATCAAATTCTATCAACTTCCTCTTTAAGGAAATGTATAGAAATCAGTTTGGAGAATTTGTATGTGGATATTGGGGCTTAAAGGGTTAAACCTTTGTTCAGAACATGGTAGATTTTTCTTTTGTGATGTACAGTTTTCTTTTATTGTGGTTTTCTAGACACTGTGGAGTTAAGGCTTGTTCCTGATTTTAACTTGTTACCTAGCAAGGTTAAGTCCCATTGTGGACTAGAGTGCCGGCAGGAGGCTTGGTGCGTGTGTGACAGGGAGGTAGTTATGGCAACCACATTAGTGATAACCGCCCCTACTTGCTTCCTGCCATTATCTTACTCATCTGGTTTATGAATAGAATTAGTATAAAACACCTCTGTCCAAAACAGTATAACTTTTGACATTTAATCCAGTAAAACTCCTTTATCATTTTTATTTCAGATTAAAGCAGTCAGGTCTGTTGTAAGATTTTAAGCAAGTGGCTTCAGAGTAGATTGTTCTGTGCACCCAGGCTCATTATTTTCCTGTTTGTGATTACAGTTCTAGAAATCTTAGGAGCTGTCTGCCTTGTTCCTGGAGGTCACAAGAAGGCGTTAGATGCCATGACTCACTTTCAGAAGTTTAACGAGGAAAGAACAAGATTTCAGGTTGGTAGAAAACAACTTTTCATGGAAAGAGGATATGATATAAATGTAAAAATTCCACCATTTGAAACTAATATATTTGTGCTGTGGCAAGAGAATTGTCAGTGGAGATGTCAAATGAGAGACTTGTTTGACTTATATAATGTCCTGTTAAAATGTCTTTAAAGAATTCAACATTGGATTGAATTGAGTTTAAGTTTGTTCCCTACCAAGTATGAAATGAAATTTGCATTTTATTCTTTATATTCAAATAAGGTTCACTTGGAAGATTATGTTAGCTAACGTGTCAAATGCCAAACAGCCATAAATTATTGCAATATCAAAAATATTTTTTGTCTTTAGACACTGATAAATGATTTAGATCGCACCACTGGACACCACAGAGATGAATTTAACCTGAAAATTGCCATCATGTCATTCATCAATGCAGCACTCAAGTATGGAGCAGGCGCTGTAAGTTAAAACTCAATATCTGCCTCTGTATGTAACAATAATCCCTTGAACTGATCAACATATCATTTCTCTTTAAATGAAACCACTGGATCACACTAAAAAGGTCGTGAGAGTTTAGGAAAAGATTACCATGCTTAGATAAACTGGCTTATTCCCCTAACTGACAAGATGTTGATAGACAATAAAGCTAAGTATGTGCTCTTCAATGTTACCTATAGGGCCATAGTAGGCTGGGCTGTACTACAAAAGGCCAAGGGCTGGGTAGAGTGAAGATTTTGTCTGGGTAATGTAGAATTGTAAACCCTTATTACTTATTAGTAAAACAGCACAAGAAAAACACAAGAAATTTTCAAAACCTTGCCTCCTTTGTACTTGTACAAATGAACCTTTTTTATTTCTGCACCTACTTAAAAAAATTAACAGTTTCTTAATGTTGTGGATTGAGCAATCACTGGATGATGTAATCCAAGAGATTGAAAGGTTACAATATCTTTATGAAAGGACACCCTAGAAATAACCCAAAATTAGTGACAACCTTGTCAGTTGGAGACTGGCTTGTTTCCAGCAAGGATTAAAGTTTAATTTTCTTTTTTTGTTTTTCAAATGCAGGAACATCTTGAATTTCGCATCCATCTTCGGTTTGAGTTTCTAATGCTTGGAATTGAACCAGTAATTGAGAAGTTGCGTACTTTGGAAAATGCAACACTGGATAGGTATCAAATGTTTCTTCAATTTGTAGTGTCACTTGCATTTTATGACAAAGATTAACAATAAAAGCAATATTTTCATGGCTGTATGCTGATATTATGAAGTGTAAATTTTAAATTGGTTAGTTGGTGAGTCTTTTAGATAGGGATAACCTCCAGATCTCTTCCTTTTGGGAGTTATTTCGTTTTGCTTTCTATCTTTTGATTAACATATTGTAAAGCACATTTATTATAGGAGGTGGAAGTTTATTGGTAATATTTCTTCACAATCATTTACTTCAAACTTATATTGCTACCACCAAATGATAGTTATAAACTGCTGCTTGCCATCATAATCAAGTGTAAATTTTGAGAACAGGCTTGATAATAAAGGCAACAGATCAGGTTGAAATGTTGTGCTTTTAGAGTTTCACTCATCATTTATGCATTATTCAGTTCTTGTTGTCAGTGGATAATGGCCTTGTNTTTCCAGCAAGGATTAAAGTTTAATTTTCTTTTTTTGTTTTTCAAATGCAGGAACATCTTGAATTTCGCATCCATCTTCGGTTTGAGTTTCTAATGCTTGGAATTGAACCAGTAATTGAGAAGTTGCGTACTTTGGAAAATGCAACACTGGATAGGTATCAAATGTTTCTTCAATTTGTAGTGTCACTTGCATTTTATGACAAAGATTAACAATAAAAGCAATATTTTCATGGCTGTATGCTGATATTATGAAGTGTAAATTTTAAATTGGTTAGTTGGTGAGTCTTTTAGATAGGGATAACCTCCAGATCTCTTCCTTTTGGGAGTTATTTCGTTTTGCTTTCTATCTTTTGATTAACATATTGTAAAGCACATTTATTATAGGAGGTGGAAGTTTATTGGTAATATTTCTTCACAATCATTTACTTCAAACTTATATTGCTACCACCAAATGATAGTTATAAACTGCTGCTTGCCATCATAATCAAGTGTAAATTTTGAGAACAGGCTTGATAATAAAGGCAACAGATCAGGTTGAAATGTTGTGCTTTTAGAGTTTCACTCATCATTTATGCATTATTCAGTTCTTGTTGTCAGTGGATAATGGCCTTGTTCTTCTTGCAGGCACTTGAATTTTTTTGACATTGTGAGGCTTGATGATGAAAAGGAACTCTCTAAGAGATATGGCCAGGTAATTGAAGAGACAAGGGAGTAGCTGCCATGGTTTAATAGCTGGCCCCAGTTGTTCGGAAGCGTATTGATTTCCTTAATACTTATTTCATACTGAATAGTGATTTGTCTGGTGGATAGAGCTATCAAATGTTTGAATAACCAGGGCATGCAAGTTAAATTATATTTTCCTTTGTTGTTATGTACAGTAACTTTGGATGATGATATTTGAACCACAAGAGTTCTAGGAAACTAAGGGATCAGGGTCATAGTATTTAAAAGAACCTTAACATTTTTAAGTGATACAATGTAGTTGGATGGGGGGGGAGTCCTCACCCACAAAGGCTGCCCTAAAGCTCCCCCCCCCTTTCAAAACAAATTTTCTGGATCTGCTGTTAACATTTAATTTCATTATGTTGTATAATGTAAACCTTCATGGATTTGCAAACCTTTGTGGATTTGGATTAAGATTTGTGCATATTGCCAAGTGGAAACCACTTGTAGTGATCTGAACCGCAGCTGTTTAAGCGTGGGATAGTGCTATCCACCGGATAAATCTTTGTCCAATTCCATTGGATAAGACTAGGGAAACCAGTTGCGCCATCCACTAGATAGAGATTTATCCAGAGGATAGCATTATTCACCTTTTTAACAACTGCAGCCTGCTTGCCCCAGCTTCATCTTAAAATTCTACTGTACTAAATTAATTTTTTAATAGTCTGAGGTATATCTTTATTTTGCCTTTTCTTATTAAAGCCATATATTGATCTGCGGAGTGCCACTTGTATGTTTGAAGTACTCAGAAGAAAACTCTGTACCACGTCAGCGTACCCACATTTCCTGTCCATTTTGCACCACATGCTTCTAGTACCAAGTGAGTTGCCTAATTTTGCATCGTTAAGAAGATATAAACTTGGCAATTGAATTAAAAAAGTGTGGTTTAGTACAGCTAAATTGAAGCAAAATCATTAATCTCTTAGCTACTTTTTCTTTTTTTTGTGGCTCCGGTAATACCGATAATTCAGGTGAACTAGTGGTTTTTTCTCATAGCATGCTTCCACGATTTGGCTGATGTCGGTTTTATGAGAACATCACCCAATGTAATAATATAGGAATTTTGCCGAAAAGGGTGTTTATTTTGAAGCTAGTCGAGCCATTTTCTGGTCACTGCTTGGCTATAAAGACCTAAAACTTACCAAAGAGCTGTTTTCAGGTCGTGCACTTCGCGGTCTTCTGTTCGAGATGCTGCTTATGAGGCTCCAAAGTTCGGGCATGCGCAGAAAGCATAATTGTGAAATGTTATGTAAAATAATCCCCCTCTTTTTCCGCTTTTCTAGTCCCGTTTTTTTTCCTTTTGGTAGTTTTTTAGTAGACTTTATTTCGATGGGAAAAGTTTTTGGTAAAACTTTTAGGATCGTGGGATTAGATAGGAGGTAGTTGCAGTAGTTGGGTACTAGTGGAACAAGCCGGATTTTCATCGCAATTTTCGGGTGAACGCCTTTTTCTCCGGCCTCATTGACTGAATCGTGCTCATTCTGGCGTGGTTTGAAAGATCTCTTCACCCTGCAGAAGAAAACCGATGACGTCACAAGCGGTGCAAGGGACTAGGTTCCACTCGCGCGGTTAAGCAACAACCGGAAATGGACATTCTTGGGCGTTGGTTTTGCCCACATTCTCGGCCAAAGCGTCTTAAAGCACAATTAGCCTTACAAATTCGGTAGTAGCTTAAGATATTTAAAGGCAACAGGCCTAACTTCCAGTTGACGTGCGTTGGTCGAAAACGCCTTTGCTTAAAGTTCGCTAATTAAGCCTCTCCCGTGTCAAAATTCGTGTCAAGATTTATACCTGTGCATGGCTACCACAGCAGATGTTAATTGGTATTTTGTTGTTTTTCAGATGATCACGGAGTGGCTCGGCGACTGTGGCAGTTGATTGACAGAG